TGACTGAGTGTCATTTGGGTTTTGGCTCAAATAAACTTCCTCATAGAGGCTCTCCCAGGTCACCCGGTCTTAAGTAGAGCCCTCAATATAATGATAATTACAAAAACAAAGGTGCAAAAAGAACAACAATAATAACATTAGTAAACAAATGCGTAAATATTTTCAATATTTAATATTTTAATATTAAATTTAATTTATCAAATTTAAATATTTAATATTTTATATATTAAATTTAATCTTTAATATTAATAAGCAAGAAATATTTAAGCAAATGCTTAACCCTATGCATCATATACTTTTATGCATTTTAGGCATTTTATTTGTATTAATTCATTTAAACTTCAAAACTATTATATGAATTAGGTATTATTATTTATAGACAAGGAAACATAGAAAGAGGATAAATAACTATACAACAGCCCATAATAACAGACCTGGGATTCCAACTTGGTGGTAGAGTCCATGTTCTTAACCATTATTCAAAATTGCTGTAGTTACTTCTTTTAAATCATCCTGTTTTCTTTTTTCCAGAGCCTATTTACTATGAAAAATTATATTGTTCACTTGTTTACTTAGTTATTGTCTTCTCTCCTCTTTCTAGAATTGTAAGCTAGAATGGGTGGATCACTGACACATCATAGGCACTGAAACCAGGCTGCCTAAGACTAACCTTCTTACCTAGCTATGAAATTTAACCTCTTTATGCTATAGTTTTCTTATCTATAGAATTAAATTAACAAGTAATTAATTAGATAGGAGTAGACTGACATTTAGTAATCTTACCCTGTAGTGCAGTATAGTAATTAGCACCCTGTCTGGTACTTAGTATTCAATAAATGTTAGTAACTACTAGTAGTAGTTATTAAAATATTAATAAAGTCTAGCATTATTCAGTGAGCTTGAGCATTTAACGTATGTCTGCCATGCACCAGAGATAATTTTATGGGAGAGGAAAGATGGGATATGATTTGTAAATAAAAGGGGTCTGTGGACCCCAGAAAGGATTTTGGGCATATATAATTATTACTCAATTAATACTCATTTGAATGACTAGTTCCAGATTTAAAACCCTAAAATGGGGGAAATGACTCTGATACTTGCCTTTAGGAAAACCTTTCTCAGCCTTATTTTAGTTAGTGCACTAATTGTTTTTTGGATGATGACTTTTTTGAAAAAATTCAATGATTATTTTGAGGTAGATAAAAATAGTATTTATTTTTAAATGAAACGTAAGAGAAGTTAGGGGCCTAGTCCAAACCTCTTGGTGCCCTCTCTTTGACCACCAGAGGGAGAGGATAAAAACACACACATTTTACTGCTGCCAGGACTTCAGTGGCACCATCCAAAATGTGTGGAGAAATTATAATTTTCCACACATTTCAAAATTGTTATTTTCAGGTCTGACCTTTGAACAGAATCAAAATCTAACCTTTAACGGTTGAAATAGTTTTGAATTGCATGTTACTATGGTTTCCTAATGTGATATGTCCTTTCTATGGTACATCGAAAATTTTAGGGTAGACTGATACTTAGTAATAATGTAAAAGGACAATGCTGATTTGTTTTACATTTAAAAAGTAAAACTTTTATTTGTACAAATAAAACATTTAAGGTAGATATTTATCTACTTGAAAAACAGTAGCATTTCATTATCTTATACATAGATGTTTTGTAATTCTTTGCATTAAAGAACCTGCATATGCAGGCAGGTATGTACTGAAATATCTGGTATGGATTGAAAGAGAATAAGTTCCAGAGTCAGTTCTGTCACTGATTTCCTAGATATTTTCTATCAAATTACTTAACTTCTCTGATCTCCAATTTGCTCCTCTGAAAAATATTAGTAACATCAACTCCTTGAGTAGTTGTAGTAATAAATGACCTTATTTATGTAAATGCATTTCTTAAACTATGAAAACTAATATTATTCTTTAACATTATCATTTAATATTATTACTTTTTTTCCTTAATATTATTTGAAATCTTTAGTACTTTTAAGATAAAAAGAGCCTACTATATGTTTGTACTTAGGCTAAAGTAGCTGAACTTCTCTTGAATTAAAAGTATAATCCAAGAGAACAGATAAATTTGCAGTTTATTTTATAAATGATTACATTAAAATAAATTAATCTTGACAAAATGTCATTTAATAGACAGACCAATATACCCTCAAAAGTGAACTGCATGCTATAAAACACTTTAAGTGACCCAATGAATTTATTATAACAGAGGGCTATTTCAAAAATAGCCTGAATTGTAATTAAAGTTTCCTACTTATAAGGCACTATATTATGTAATCCAAGTATCAATTTATGAATTATCAAAAAAGATAGTTAAAGGGGGAGACCTTTGGGGTTGGACAGACTTGGGAATGTTATGAATGGGTTTGCATTTAAGTAAAAAGATCACTCTAGTATTCATATGCAGTAGGCAGATTTGAGATAAGGCACAATTAGAGATGGGGAGAAACAGCACCATAAACAATGAAAAGATGTAAATGGATTTGAGAGATACAAGGAAAGAGTTATCAACAGTTTATGGCAACTGATTGGATGTGTGATGGTGAGGGAGAAAAGTTTGAGGAAGGCTCTAAAGTTTCTGGTTTAATCAGATGACTCAAATTGGACTGTCATTCCCTGAAATATGAAATATTTGTAAGTAAGAGGGAGGGAGAGGCAGATAGATTATGTAGGACCTAACAGGCCATTATAAGAACTTTGACTTTTACTCAAGTGAAATAAAGAGCCAATTAAAATCTTTCAGAAGAAAAGTGACATGATGCAACTTC